AAATTTCCGCAACCAGCGGAACGAAGAAATTGGCTTTTTACAATAAATCTTGTGCTAATTCTGTGAAAAATAATGAACCATTCTAATCGCGGAGATATGCCTGTTTGTTGTCATTAGAGATGTGTAAGTGACTTGTATTTGGTGCGGTCTGCACGTACATCCGGATCCCATCTGGAACTATACATACAAAAACTTTAACGGCGGTAAATCAATTTACTTTGTGACCATAAGGACAATAACTTTAAAGAAGAATTATGTATAAAAAAATTAATATACAGTTGCGCTCACACGCTCCTCGAAATAGCGAGTATATTTATTAAATTTTATCGATATCGCAAGTGTGAACTTATCTACCGCTATCTTTGACCTGGTGGAAAGCTGACACTGATCTGGGGCGAAAAGTACGTCAAATGTGTCAACATATATTGAAATATTATGTAAAGAAAAAAATTTATATACCAACAAATACGAACGTTGACCTAGGGGGACTTTCAACAACGACAAAATCGATGGAGACGCCCCATCAAACTATTTTGTTGTAGTCACAGATTTTGCGTTTTGATTATTTGTTATCTCGTGAAAACAACAACAGTTAAATTAAGTACCATCAAACCTCGCCTCAAACACTGACGACAGAATTACATCAACTTACGATCCGGAATTTATTTCTAAATGCGTGCGAAAGCTGGCGGCGCAGAAAAACCGTGGAAAATGTAAGTAGCGTGTGAATTGCTCCAGGTCAAGGGTTCTGATTGTTCGGAAAAATTAGTCTTTATTAGTAGAAAAGGTTTCGCGTCCCAGAATAGGTGTCAGTCAAAATAGTTTAGTCAGAGCCGTCAGATTAAGGTGCGAGCGAATTCGCGTCGAACCGCGAGGGACCATTAACGCGAAACATTCAGCGAATTAAGTCGATCACCCGTAGCTCAACGTGGGGTGGTCTTTTATTTGTGTTAAAAAAACTCGCGTGGAGTCGCAAACGAATTTCAGCCAGCGAGTCAGCCACCGGAAATTTATCGCAGGGTGGATTGTGTGGTATTTAAATTTGTGTCGAGCAAGCGAAATTAAATTGACTACTTTCGGAGACATTGCGTGCGCCTACAGTAACGAAATTAAATACGAACAATAGGGTTAAGTTTTAAAACGCGCATTAGAGTTTTTAGTGGCCTTCAGTTCACAAAGAATAATTTACAGTTTAGAAACTATAACGTTAAATACGAACAATGGTGGACATTTTAACCCATAAAAATAACAACGTGGTGCCCTTAAATAAAGTTCCTCTGGTTTGTGAAAGTGTTCAAGTTATACAAGTTTTAGGTAGTTTTTGAAAGATAATTGAATGCTCTTGGAGTGTAACAAACATTCTTGAAGGACTTTAAAGAATCTTTTTAGGCGCTCAGTAGAGATTCTCCCGTTCTTCCGAAGATGGTTTGTAGACGCTTAGTTCCCTTGTAACCATGTATTGAGTTGTCTTTCATAGAATTTTCTAGCATTTGTCCAAAAAATGCATTTTATTGATTTATAGGCAACAGGATAGGAAAGATATTAAAAAATTTTTTGAAGCTTACTCAGACATTCCTTGGGAGATTTCCATAGATTATTCGCATATAGTTTAGAGCTTTCAATCATGTTCACACTTCACATATTTTTTTAGAGATTTTGAGGAGATTCCTAGGCAACTTATAATTTTTGAAGCTATTTCTGGAAGACTTGCTGGGTTTCCACGTGATTAAATGTATACCCTTGGTAACTTTAAATATTTTTGCAGAGATTTTGGAAGACATTTCTCTGACAACGCAAGGAATTTTCCGAGAACTACTGTAAGGTCTCTAAAACTCAAATGTCTAATGAACGCGTAATATCTAAATGATCTATAAAGCATAATATATAAGGCCGCTATAGTCTCAGAATATTCTTTAAAAATACCTGAATGGCCAATGAATAATTTCTAAGCGGCAAACAGCGCTTCCCTACTTGTTGTTTGTGATGAATCTTTGAAAACGTACAATGGTTCTCGAATAATTATTTGCAGAATCTCAAAAAATAACTGGAAAATGTAAATAAAATCTTTCTGAGAATAAAATTATTTTTTAAACTTAAAATCTATGCAGAGTTCTATGAACCTCAACCTCTAATGTTCAGTACATAAGTACTTGCAGAGCGCAGAAGTCGTTTTTTGTGAAGAAGGTGGCAGCAGGTTATTAGTTACAGTTAGTTATTTTTGGTTTACGGTCACTGTAATTAATTGTTTGAGATTCGCTAGCATACAGAAATTTTGGCGCCATCTGTCGGCGGAATTTTCAATTTCCTTTTTCGCATTCCACTGCAAGCACGCGTTATTTCGGCACGTTAAACAGCGTAGAGTGAAAGCCTGGTTCTAATTGCAATTTTCAGTTATAATTCTTCTGGCGATTGAATATATATGTTGTGGATTCAGATTTAGTTGGAGCACGGGTTTGTACATTTTTGGCCGAGTTTTGCGGAGCTTGGTTTTTACTAATTACGTGTAATTAATTAGTAATTATTTGCAATAATTCTTCTTAAAGGAAATCATGACTTTTGTTACAACTGTAGTTCGTAATTCATGAATGTCACCCGGATGATCTATTTTGAACACGTGGATATTTCATTAGTTGGTGTCCAAATATATTAGTTTGCGTAATTTATTAGCCTTCTCTTTTCAAAATAGTTCGAACCAGAGTTTTCTCCTAAAATAAAGGGACACGTAATTTATATTGCAAAAGTCTAAATGATTTCGAAATGTGGCAGTGAATTTTCGGTTAATTCGCCTTAAAAGTGTAACCATTTCAACGAGGGGTGAATTTTAATAATACACAATTAATTATTTACTCACATTAATAGACTCCATTTGGTTGGTGGACAGAACGTTGCAGTCTGAAACAAAAGAATAGTATATCATAAATTAGCACTAGTTTAATTCTATCTGCAACTTGCGTGAAAGGAGGGGGCGATTTATAGTTTAATTCTTTGATGTAAGAAAATCTTTAATGAGCAATTAACACACGCAAATGTCAAAAAATGTAAACCGAAATATTCATATCTTTGGCACGGTACGTAATAAAAAAAATGTAGGCATATAATACACGCTTGTAAATTATTTTCATTGCCCGTTTTAATGTATAACATTAATTACGCCAATGGTGGCGATA